GTTTGTTTTATCGTTTTTAAAAGAATTAAACATTACGTTAAAAATCTAGAATATTAGAAACTTGAAAAAGTGGTTGAATTATAAAAATTCATTATAGTTTGGATTGATAGGTTGCGCTTTTTTGTTGGCACTTCCAACTCGGCAGTGAAAGAGAATACTTTATAGTTGTAATAAGCGTTTGTGAAACGTTCTAAATATTTAAACTTTCCTTGTTATTGATTATGTCTAATATTTACACGTATCAGGAGGTTTTTGCAAATTCAAGTGATCCATATTAATCCTATCCCATATTAAAAAAGTGGAATATGTCGAAACGTCTGGTTTGATTTGATTGATTAATATATTTGAAAGCACCGAAAATACTGTTTACAATCATCTATACTTTTGACATAGAGTCTTGCTGTATTTATCTCTCAGATTCAAGCGCATGAAATGGTTAACTATCTAATGAACGATGGCAACGATTATCGGAATGAAAGTATATTTTTTGAAGGACATGATATAATTACGAGCATATTGTAATTCTGCGACATTCTGTAATTCAGTTTTTAAAGAAAGTGAGATAGTTACATATATTATATTCCCCATCAGTGCGTCTCCAAAGTCGTTGTCTTCATTGAATATTCATCCTGCAGAATGTTTGCAATTGTTTAACAATAGCGGCGGCAATTACGCGGTTTTGTACCGCGCTCCAGGAGCTATGTAATTAGTTGTGTCTTTCACAACCCATTGACAAGTACAAGTCGATGGGTTCCAGTCGTGCTGACTCTGCAATTCTTTTGCCAGATGCAACACTTTACCGCAATTAGTTGTTGACTTGTACAGTTCTTCTGTTGAACTGAATTCGACATCAGCTGTGAAATAAATATTTAACGTTTCACGCAGATTCAACTATGGGTAATTTTATAGAAGAAATTGTCATACTAAATTTGCTAAGTCAACAATTTCAACCTAATCAACTAATAATAAAGGTAAAACTATTTAACTTCTTAAATCAAGATTTTGTGAGAAAAAGTTAAATAGTATTTTATTTATACGATGAAAATAAACTAATTCATCATTTTTAAGTAAAACTTCTTTTGTAGCTTCCCGTGGGGCAAGTTATTGTAATCTTCCAAAAATCGAAATTGAAAATTTTTGCATTTCTCGACGTTCTGAAGGTTTCTGAACATGTTGGCATACCTCAGAAAAAATGGATGTATGTGTGTGTATGTGTGTATGTATGTATGGTTACAATTTTTCGGTCACGTTTTCGGGCGCACGGATCAACCGACTTGAATGGTTCGAAAACATTCGATTCCTATTGGTAGGGAGATGCGCTGATTAGTTTTTGGAGAAGGCAGGTCCAGCAGTTACAGAGATAAAAAGCAAAGAGTGCAGAAAATATAAATCGAGTTTTTGAGAATGAAAAATTTGAAACCAAATTTTTTTTTCAATTTTTTTTTCAGGAAAATTTTTTTTTGTCGAATATAATTCAGATTTTATTTTTAATTCTGACTAAAGTTCTAATATACTTCAAACAAATAACTTTAATTTTGCAATTCAGTTTATATAATTCTTATAAATATTAGACAATGTTACAATATTTATAATAATCATTCAATATTTCTCGAACATTTCGTTACGGTACTGGAAGTTCCAGCAAATTGCCTTAAGGCACGATGCCATACACTGCTATTTGAATTTTAATACAAATTTTATACATCTCAGACAGACTAAAGTGTCTGGTGATCATTTGGAAAGAGTTGATATGATTGGTCATGATATCACATGATATCATGTATATTCTATAAATCTATACTCTTCATGTACATTCGATATCATGTACATTCTATAAATCTATACTCTTCTTTAAAAAATAATACTATGAGATATGGTACCACTGACAGCAGCTTTCTCAAGAAAGTTAGATAATTTGCTGACTGATTTTGTCTTTTTATGACTTCAAAAACAATTTTATCATATTTAAAATATGATAGTTTGTTTTGAAATATTAGTATAGTAGTTTACATTAACAAATGCATGTATTACTGGTGTTACCATATTATCAATAACAATATTTCAAATTATTATCTAAAGAAATTATTTTTGGCTTAATTGTAATCCTGTACAATAGCAAATAGGTTTTACTTCAATCGCGTGTATATCTTAGGTTTTTTTATTAGTCGATGCTTAAACTTAATCGAATAAAGAAGGCCATTATCTCTATTACTTTCTGATATGTCACTAATTGAAAAAAGGCGAAAAGTAATCAAATAAAATTGATACTAAAATTATTGGAATTTATCTACTCTATAACAATATTTTATTTCATTAAATGTAAGCAAAAGTGTACTCATGATTAGGATGAGTCATGCCCTCATGCATAAATGGAATAATAATGTACTGGAATAATAATACTTAATATTTGATCTGTCTTTTATGAAGATATTTAGTAATTAGCATATAAATATTTGCAAAGCAACCACAAGTTGTCCTTTCCTGTTTGTGTCTTTTTTTCTATACTTGACTCGTATCTGTTGACATTTTATAATTTTATGCTGTATTAGCATCGAAAGGAAACTTCTACTCTATGTCTATTATTTCGTGTAATTAATTTTTATATAACTGAAATATTCAATCAAAATTATTTACGATTTACGATTAATTTCAACAGAACAATATTCAAAACTTTTTCTACTTGAAGAATGTCAGTATGAACGGGTTTGGAACGAATGATATCAGTTCGGCAAAGTTTTGCAAAAATCAGAAAAAAAACTCTATACTTTCAATATCATCAGAATTTTAATGAATTATATTTATTCTAACTTACTTAGTTATCAACAATAATTCATAAGTGTACATTTTTCAAGAAATATTGCGCTGCTTTCTATATTAACAATTCAAAATATACGACATGCATTTTGCAAATCTATAGTAAATGATTATCATTTTTAATTTGAATGAGATTATTATTGACTCTTAAATCACGCAATTGTTGCGTTCTTGCGTATTACAGAAATTTCCTCCATGATGTTATTATGGAAGCTGATTCAGATGAAAAGTGCAATATAATATATTCCAGAGGTAATTACACATTTGCTGTACATTAGTTGACGTTATAAAATTGCAAACTCTCATTGTTAGAAACTGCTACCGGTGTTGGATATCCTTTCTTCAATTTGTAAATGAATTATATTATACATATTATTATGCGTATTAAATTATTCCATGTGAACACATGGAAATAATAGATAAAGCTTTGCAAATTCATGAGATTCGGCGGCTAAATTGCATTTTAGGAGCAAAATTATCAATGGGAAATTGTAGATATATATTTAGCTTTTCAAAGGAAAAGTTTGTGAAAAAAATCTGGCTTGCTTATTTTATGTTTCTTCTTTTTTGAGATTATATTTTGTTTGTCTTTCTAGACATACGACTAAAACTCCATCGCACTCCGCGTTCGCATTTCTATTTAAACTTATATAATGTAATTACAACAAAAGAGTATTAGTGATGCGAGACGTTTTAATGACATATCATTTTCTTATTTCGCAATTGTGTAAAACATTGCGCTTCCATGAAAACAATAATGCATATATTTTCTTCTGTAGTGTAAAGCTTCTACGGATGTTGATCCAGTGTTCCCAGACCGTAAAATCTTGATTATATTGCATTTTTGCATTTACCTCGTAATGTATTTAGTTATATTAAGCATTTGTCTTAGATAAATAAAAATAAATTAAATGTAATCTATATGCCAAAAGCTTTTAATAGGAACTTTTTACTAATCAGCGGTTCTTTATTTACTATACATGTATGATGGATATCTGTATCTAATAACTGAAATATGTACAGCATTCAAACTTTTTTTTAAAAAAAGTTGAATTGAAAGTTAACAAAATCAATATAAGTTAAGACCAATTCCAGGATAGAGGATACGTATTTAACATCTATGCCTGAATGAATTTTACCGTCACTTATTATGGGTACTTTTTCTTATAACTTATGTCATCTCAATTTTTTTTTAAATATGTCTGAAATATTTAACTGTAATATATTTTTTGTTTAAATATTTGATATTTTTACTAATTAGATTGCTTTTCACTACTATATAAAAATTGATCTATATATGTGTGTGTGTTTATGTTCTGTGCATTCATAAACCATAAATTAAAATCGCCGTAAAAATTTGGGAAACTTTTAGGTTTATCGCCGGACAGGTTTTTGCATATTTTGATTAATACCAAGTTGTTAATAAAAAGGTTGACCACCCCGAAGAATTTTTTTATCAATATTTATTTAAAATTGCTTTCATCAAGTGTTGTCTAACTCTAACACTTCTTTTTTAATGTGCTGGTTAAATTTTCTTGATTTTCGAACCTCTCAATTTTTGCCTATCACTACCCTAATTTTATTGATCATTTTTTACCTGATCGATAACTGGTCAATTATATTGTCTTTTCTGGACGTTTTTAAATGTCGTCGTTTTGTAAATTGAAAAAGTAAATATGGATATAAAAACTAAATATAATTGCAGCTGCAAAACTAAATTAGTTTTTTTAAGAGACTTATATGCGCTTGCTTGCTAAGAAGTAAATTGATATTAATAGCAACGATTGATATTTTTTTTTATTAACTCTTTACCTACAACTGTCCAGTAAAGAACATTCAGTAAATTTAATAAGTTTACAATAGTCCGCCGAAAAGGGACATTGTATACTACATTGGCGATATAAGTAAACATATTTTGTTGCAAGGTGCAAATTATGTATCACACTTCGTTAAAATAATTGTATTATTCTAATAAAACAAATTATGTTGATTAGTATTGTTTATGGCCCATGCTCCGTGTCCGTGCAAACATTATGCATATCTTATTGCTGTCGCCAACTGTCAACTGTCAACTGTCGCCATTAAAAGATGTTCTTATGTGAAAATCTAGTTTTATTCATCATTTAATGTGTTTGTAATCTCAAACATAATTAAAATGCTATATTTAAATTTATTTATTATTACAGAGAGGATCACAGCCGTTCGGATGTTTGTGGATTATTTAGCCCAACGTCCCCGAAGAAAAAGGTAAGTGCTCTTTATAAAAAAAATATATCCAGTTGAATTAGGGTAAAAAGGGTACATATTCTATTTCAGAAACTATTTTTTTTAAATATTGTATTTCGACATTTTAAATCTAAATGTAAACTTATAATATATATCGTATAGTAAACCTATTTTACATGGACAATCGCAGTCTTAATCTGCTCAAAAAAGGCTACGAAAAAATCGAAATTTAATCTTATGACAGCACAGCTTTTGCTTTTGCTGCAATTTACTGCAAATGTGCTGGACTTATATGTCATATTATAACTTTTAATAAACCAGTATATTTTAGCTATTATCATGCACATTTATAACAATATATTTTTTATATATTCTTTATATAATTGCAAGATGTAAAATGACAGTTTTTAAAAAATTGGTTATGTAAAAAGCAGTTGAATTTTTGTTTATACATATATATTTCAAAATAGTTTTTAGTAAAACACAAACAAATTATGTAGTTCGATCATATAGACAGAGTATTTTTTTATGATTTCATATCATAAATGATATAATGTCGTTATCAATTAATAACTAATACGAAGACTTTCTAAATACAGTTGTTTTCATAATAAAGTTAGTTTTAGTATTAAGTTAGGAAATATTAGTATCCAGAGCATGATATTATGTGACCGTGCTTATTATCGCTTTTTAGCAAAAACTTGTGACAAGTGACAATTTGCTACGTTTTTGCTATTACATTTATTTTGATATATAGCGCTAATTATCAGAATTGAGAGAAAGGATCAAGTGCTGATGAAATAAGATATAAATCAATGATTGATAAGATTTATGCTCCACATCGAAGTATACTGTTGTATAACGATCATTTCCCAACATTTGCGAAGCTTTATATGGTATTGAACATAGATTTCGTAGCAATTTTTTTTGTTATACTTGTGATATAATTAAAAAACTGTATTTCAATTGAGCAATTTCCTCATAATTAAGTAATAATACTTATTGGGTGGAAAATAACTATTTGTGATTGTATAAATGGATTACATTACTTATATTCAAAATTAAAGTTTAAAAAGCATGAAAAGTTCGAGAAATTATAATATTAGGCTTATGAATTAAAAACACATTGGAGTTTTTTCTTGGTGAGAGGGTGAGACAAATGTAGTGTTTTTTCTAGAATGTAAATATTATCTAATTATATATCTGTAGGGTACGGTGGAGGACAGAGGTCCAATTTGACTTGATATTAGATTATTATGTAATATTGCTGTCTAAAGTTTAGATTCTAAACCAAATAAACTACAAATATTGTACTATGTTCAATAAAATTTCCAGTTAATTTCTAATTATAAAAATGATTTTTTTTACTTTTTTTCTAAAACTGGTCATCTGTTCTCTTTCGCTCCGTAGGCGAGATTAATTTAGTTTATTTCTTGTAAAATTGCCTTTTTAACTAAATTTACATTTTTATTTACTATTTTCTATTGTTTACGTCTTCGGCAGGGTAAATTTTCAGCTGGTCCTTTTAACCTGTCCAATGTAAGCTACCAATATAAGTTATTTATATTGGTATTAAGGGTTTTAAGTTTCGCTCTGCCCTATTGGTTTTTCTATTGATTTAGGAATTAGTTTGATTTAAAAAGCTTTGTTTTGGCATACCGTATAATTTTTTTATGTACTCGTATGTGGGTAAATGATTTAAAAAAACATGGCTCCGTACTGATTGTGCTAAAAGTTATTTATTATTTTCGATTACTGTGGAACTTGGATTAACCGGACTAATTATTGTCGATGGGCATTCGGATAATCGAAAATCCGGATAATCTAATGTATGAAGAATAATTATGTGTATTTATTAAAAATTACAAATACATACATAGATATTAACGAAAATCATGTTTATTAATAATTAGAAACTTTCTTATATATGTACATATATATTTTCTAAGATTACATTATATGCATATTCCATACTGCAGCATTAATCATTCAAAAATTCGAATTTTGTATGTATATACATATAAATTGGTCGCGGTTGGCTGTCCGGATAATCGCAAATCCATATAACCGAGATCCTGATAAACAAGGTTCTACTAAAGTTAATTTGCTTTTTTACCGAAAATATGCAAAATGATATTAATTCTGGGAATCTGATGTTATTCATTTTTTAACTTTTAAATGCTTACTTTAAGAATATAAAATTTTTCAATCCCTTCTATTTTCAACATTAAATTTGTTTCCTAATTTTAATCTTCAATATTATCACAATTACAATTTCAAATTTTTTCTAGAGATCATGAAATATTTCAAAATTTTCCAAAAGGATTTAGAAAATATAAATAATTACAAATATTTAATACTCAAAAATAAACAGTATTTGAAATACTTTAAAAATATAAAAGGAACAGTATTTTAAACATCTAATTCACAAATTATATTTTGTAAAATAAACAATTAAAGAACTTTTCCAATACCATATTATTATCAAAGTTTTGTTTATACACAAGCATAAAATATCTTTTTAATATTTTGACTTTTTTTAACTCATGTAAATCTAAAGTTTATCTATATTATAAACTTATTTTTTCTGCTATAATATTTTATTTACTTTTATAATATTCAACATGCCAATACTCAAATATTATTCGAATTTAATTAAAGTGCAATTTGGGATATGTTCATTTAGACTAGAGTAAATGTACAGAACAGTAAATGCCATAAACATTTCAATCATTGTAATGAAATTGTTCATGAACATGTTACAGAAATTCATTTATTAATTGAGGAACTCATGTTATCATATTACGCATCAAATCAGTTGCACTTGCGTGCGCCAGGAATTAATTAAACTAGAATTGACATTAAAATCATGGATGAGTGTGTATATATGCATTTAGATAGTAATTCATAAAGCGGATTTGCCTAACTATGCAAATTTACTCAATTTTAAATTAAATCTATCTTTTAAAAACGTTTTAATAAAACAATATGAACTTCACTTAATCGTAGCTCGTAGCTTTGGCTGTAGGGAAGACTGGGTGCGGTAGTGATAGCCAGTAGCGTTACTAGACCCTTCGGTGCCCGTGGCAAAGTCTTCTGATGGGGCCCTATCGTGGTACTCAATTTTTAATTTATCTAATTTTGTTTAATAAACGTTAATAGTCATTTACACGCTGTTTACTACTGGTTAAAACAATTTTTAATAAATTTTATCACAAGCAAACCAACTTCGACTAATTTATGCTTTATGGTATTAAAATATGAAATTATACAAGAGGTAGAAAAGTAAAGAATTGATTTAAAGGGATAATTAAAATTTACCTTTAATTATATAAAAATAACAAAAAATACATAAAACTTAATTTTTCTTGAAAATCAAACATAAAATATTGGTGCATATGTTCAACGTTAGGATAAATGGAAATTAAAAAACGTACTTTTTTAATCAAAATTTAAAACAAATACCACTTTATCAAATTTAATTATTACATAATCTTCCATTAACAATTTCTTTTTTACTGTAATTAATTTTATTGATTAAGTAGCGACGTTCGATCTTCATAAAAATTTATGATTTAACTAGTATTGGTATTTTGCCTTGAGGCAAGTTACATGAACTTCCCGATATGTAAAAATAGTCGACTTAATCAATAAAACATAAATTAATTTATGAGTAATTAAAAGTATTCCGAGTGGATTTATTACACATAATTGAAAACGAACGAACACGTTAACTCTCGGAGTTTTCTCTAAAAACTTATAAATTTCTGAAAACTGTTCTGGCGTTTTTGAGAAAATCGATCAAAATTTTGACAAATGTCAAAAGAACGATACTAATTATGCACACTTTGAAGAATTGATGAAAACTCTAAAGCAAAATAATATAAAAAAATATAAATAAATATAAAAAAATTAATAACTTGGACGTAGTTAGCATTTTCTTTTATTATCGAGAGGTATTCAACTTCAACTTGTAAGCTAATGCTTTAAAAGAATTTGTTTCTGCTGCAAAATATTTGAAAAAGATTTTAAAACTTTGTATGTGCTTCACGAATACGACGAAATTTAAAATTAAAACTGAAAAAAATACGTAAAAACTTTAGAACAGAAATGTCTTCCAGACCTGTCACTATTGTTCTTAGAGACAGAAACTTTAGAAAATCTAAAAATGACTTAATAATTCAGTTTTTCGAAAGAAGATAAGGCGAGAATATTTTTATCTGGATCATTTATGAAAAGCTCGGAAAATTATAGAAAATTAAATAGAAAAAAATTAGAATGATAAATAACTATTCTAATTTTATGTATTTTTATATTTTGTGCTAAAAAAATTTCTTCTTAAGGGGGCCCCCAAACAAATTTTGATATGAGGCCCCGCGAAGGCACGCTACTGATATTGAGAAAAAAGTTCTTCACGTGTTCGTTTTTTATCTTAAAAGTCGATAAAGTATAAATTATTATATATACAATAATAAATTCATTAATTCATTCTTGATATATTATATAAACTAAGGATATTCCGATGCAGATCCATCGCAGTTCTTTATCGCATAAAAGATAAAACACAATACTTTCGCTGTGCAGCGTCGACTCCTTTGGTTTTAACTAACTAAATATTCGGCCGAATGCAAGTTCCATGCAAGCTTGGTTGAATAATTAACTTCGACTTTGAACTTTATAAAATATAAGTTTCAACTGAAATAAAATGTATGTATAATGTAAAAATGTATTTCCGAGTCTCGGTTTCCTGGACCGGGGCTCCCTTAGGTCGGGGGTTCGTTGCATTTTGCCACCCACGCCACCCTATAGTTACGCCACTGGTGATAGCCGTCATAAAAGCTAAATTATACAGATTTTGAGATACGGTCCGAAGCGCGAAAGACGAAGTATGATTCCTCGAACAAGTTTCCAGTACTGCATTGAATCAGCGTCCTGAAATAACATGATCTGTGAACCAGCATTGCTTTTAAAGAGAACGAAGTAATTTTTTTTGTTCGATTTCTTTTAATAATTACTGTTAC